CTGTTATTGAAAAATAGCATTTATACTTTTTTGTATTCCATTTTGAAACATACAAATAATACTGTAGCCACAAATACCAGTCCATCGACTCTGGCTCTCTACCAAACATATTTGGGCCCCCAGTGGAAAATGATATTTTAATGTTGGGCCTTGTAGACTATCAAAGCAACAGGGGTTATTTCAGGTTTTCTGTGTTCCAGAAATGAAAGTCCCATTAATTTTGTGCATATATAATCGTAGGTGACTGGCAGCTGGAGCACTTCCAAGCCTTGGATGGACATGAAACTCTCATGAATCATCAGTAGAAAAGATGAGCAACTGTGCTCCTTTAAAGAAAGTCAAAGGTACAAGCTAGAAGGAAGCATGTCTGTAAGAAACACAATCACTAACACTTAAAACTCTGAAAATTATGCTTTGTGGAAACCTGGGAATACATTCAGCAGTTAAAATCAGGTCATTTTTGATTCTGTGTCACTTTCGGATGAATCCAGCAGATATGATGTTATGTTTTCTTCCCAATTGTAAAATCAAAGCAAAGAATTTTCTACAGCTCTATGGCCCCCTCTTCTTAGCAAAGGCTATTCATGGCTATTGTAGTATTCAGTTGTACTGATGTACTGTATCTAACCGATGGAAATGTTTGGCTTTGTTTCTGATTATTCAGACATTCAACTTAATTTTAGATTTTTCAAACTTGAAATAATAAAACTCATGTCCATAACATAAACCTATAGCATGCTCCTTTATCTATAGGAGACTCAAGTGTTTCTGTAATGAAGAACATTGAGGATATCAATAAAATAACTTCATTGTAAATTTACAGTGGTATACTTCCAGAAGCAAGTTTCTGCACTATCAGAAATATATTGTAGCTATAAGGACAAATAAAAAATCCCAATGAAAATGACACAAATGTACTCTCTTATAATCAGTACCATCATGTGGGAAGCAGACTGATACTGTTTCTTGTTCTGTGCCATGTGCTATAGGCTATTAAATCGGACAAACTAACTACTGACAATGGTTGCCAAAATTAAGTCAAATAAACGTACCAGATGATTGACAGATAAATGATCAAAGAAGATTTGCATCTTACAAACAGAACAGTTTAGTGTTGCAATGATGACCCTGATGTCTTAAGGGTTATTTTGGCTTGGACTTGAGACTTTTATTTAGAAGTGAGTCTGCATTACAAACTGGATGTGTGGAGTTTGAAAGATATTAAGGAGGTAGACGGAGCTCCTGAGTTGAGCTATTAAAATTGTACCATCCACTATATTTGAAGCTTGACGTAAACATATGTTTCCGAGCAACATCATCAGTGAGACACGCACAAGGAGGGTAGAAAACAAACCAGAATTTTTGTCTGATTATGAAATGAACATGATGTGAAAATTTTGTGCCTTAAACCACATGAATAACAAAAGTAATGGGTGGAAAACGTTCATTGTGCCAGGAAAGATACCCACCATTTACTGCATGATTAGCCATTAGCTCCAGTGACAGCCCTGGATATTATATGTTGCTAGTACTGGAAGGTGGTGGACCGTTTGAGGACAGGTGAGGAAGAAAGGCCTGTTTTAATGTAAGACAGCTCACACCGTTTTGTGCGATCATTTGTCAGGCTCTGTGATCAATGCTTTGGTGATGAGTCTGAAATGTATGCGACTTGGTGACAGCAGTGGAAACTGATGGAAAGGAAAAGGCATCATGTTCAATCAAACAGGTGCGCAGTCTTGTTTCATGATCTTATGTGGCTGATAAATAATACTTAATTAAATCTTGTACTGACATGAGTTTCTTGTGAGTAAAGACTTTACACACAGCAGGCATATGAGTTTTTGTACTAATGTAACAGATCTGCACTGGTTGCACCAGCAAGTTCTCACCTAAGTTAGGGTGTAAAGCCGACCCTGAAGGCTTAGTAACTATACTAGTTAGTTTAGGTAATTAAATCAGCTACTAAAATTGGTTGCACCATGATTACTTGGGGCAGTTAAAGTCATAACTAAGGCAAGTGGCCAATCAACGATCAAGAGTTTCCATCATAATGTTAACCATGCGCATTAGTTTTCTGGGTGGCATGAGCCACAGGTATCGTAGCACATGATAATAAGCTAGATTGATAGTGAAATACCATGTTAATAAATTAGGTCTCTATTGGATCACTGTCTTGCAAAATGGCATGCAATCAATGAAAAATAATGCTGTGGGGCAGAATAACTGACATGCATTTTATGATCTACACCTACCCTGCGGCATGTGTAAGTATTTAGTTGTTACTTCAAGATATGTTGTAACTTATATATCCATTGTGCAACCGCTTTAATTTCAGTAATAAATTACAACTTTTTGAACTTGCATACAGCTGGTGCAACAGGCCACTGGCATATATCTAGTGTCTGGTATAGTTTACATTGTGCCTGTGCTCTAACTTGAGTCAAATGGCAGGAATTTCATATACGCTAACATATGCTAACATTACTTGTGCGAGGGAGGTTGCTTTGCTTTTAACCCTTCTTGGCTTTGCCCGTTGATGTTTAGTGACAGTTCATTTGTCACTACCAGTAGAGCTAACTTTGTGTTGTCTGTGTTAGCGTTATCACTGCTACTAGCTTCTCCTGCGTACAAATCTTTGGTTGTTGTAAATGGGAAACATGTCTATACTAGAGTTAAAGTATCTCGGCCTATGTTATTTTCATTCTTTTTCATTCTTGTTTAATCTGTCACATGTGAGTCCCCCCAACTTTATAGAAGTGCTTTTTGACAATTAACGCCTGATTTTATTAAACTTTGTTCTTTTGCAAGGTTTTGAGAGAAACATTATTTTATCTGGAGTAGTAGGCTCCAGCTTTGATTGTAGCCTAGTTTGACCTAATCAATGGATAATATCTGATCCCTCCATACCTGTCAATTACAGCATACTACAGGTCGCAGACGGGCTACTCGTACCAAGCTAACATCAGCCAAATTGTTCTTTTGTTTTTTAACAAATATATATAATTCAAACAAACAAGAACATTTAAACCATACAGGATTTCAGCTGTGTCTCCACTGCAGCTGTTAACCAGCACTGAGCACCGCTGAGAAAAACGGCCTTTGGCTGAACCTAACTGCCGACCCCTGCTGTAGGCTTGCTGCATATTTTTCACCAGGCTTACTACAAAACTTCTTATAAACAACATTTAAATGAAACTCTATATTTACCGATAATGATGTAGATCTGAACTGCTGGTAATGTGTCACCACTTGACGAATAGTAAAGTAGAGGTCGGGATGCACACAATTATCAAGACGCTGAGAAATGATGCTCAGTTGAGATACGACAGATGAAGAAGGATGTGAGAGAAAATATATGGAGATCTAGGAGCTGCTGAATGGGTTCGGTTTAATTGTAATTCTGCTCTCTTTGCGTGTACGCACTATCATGAACACTTCATCACCCGCACCAATACCCCCAATATGTGTGTGTGTGTGTGTGTGTGTGTGTGTCTATTTGTGTGTGTAACACACAAATAGACACACACACACTTGCACTCATAGTCACACACAGCTACACAATCTTTACTGAAGACAAACATCCACATGCACGTGCAAGCAGTGCACATGTACAGCAACACACAATTATACAGTCCTCACAAACTACACACACACACACACACACAGTTCCAATAAAGGACACACACCCTCTTCCACAGCACACACTCAGTAACAGACACACACACACACACTGCATTCATTTCCCTTTCATTCAGCACAGGCACATATTGTGCTGCTGTAACACACACACACACACACACACACACACACACACACACACATACACACACCATTTGCAGAGCTTGCTCCTAGCTCTCCCTGCACACACACACCCCTCCCCCTCTATCTCTGTCAGACACACACATCACACACAAGCATACACACACATACAGTCACACAAACACACACAAGTACACGCGCATTCCCTCCTACGCAGGCGCGCTCACACACACACGCATACACACTCGCACACACATTCCCTCTTTCCTTTCACACACACACACACACACACATCTCCCTTGTACACCCTTCCCCCACTCTCTCACACACAGATACACACACGTACATGTCCTCTCTCTCTTCCTTGCTTGCTCATTCACTCGCTCTCACACACATACGCACAAATAAATACACACACTCCCTCTCTTGCTCTGCTTCTCTCACACACACACACACAGTAACACACACACACACAGGAACACACACGCCTGCGTATTCACAGGCACACATATACACACATTCTGTCTCCTGCTTGCTCACCCCTCCCTCTCTCTGTCTCTCTCTCTGTCTGTCTGTCTCTCTCTCTCACACACACACACATACACACAACACACTCTTCCCTGCCCTCTCTCCCCTTCTCTTTTTTCATCTCTCTGTCTCTCTCAGACACACATACACCCACATGCACACATGAATTTTCAAGCACACAGAGACAGACACACACCCATTTTCTCTCTCTTTCTTTCTCTCCCTGTAACACACATGCATATTTTCTCTCTTGCTCGCTGCACACACTTTCTCTCCTTCTCACACACACACACACACACACACACACACACACCTCCCCCCTCTTCCACAGGCATCCTGGCTGCCACTCCTTCCCTAACAACCACATACACAAACGAAAAGATGCACACACACATGCACATATACATAAACACGTATAAACAAACATGCATAAACACACACATGCACACACACCCTTTTAAAACACACACCCCACCCCTTTCGCTCAAACACACATCCTGTCTTTTCTTACAGTTAAACATAAACACACAATCTCACTGCTAATATTCACACTCAAAATGTAAAATAAACCACATTTTATCTCACATCATTTTTTCTTGCACCAAAAATAAATAAATAAAAAGCATCCTCCTGTCTTTCAAACACTCTATTGATCACCAACACTTGGGAGCCAATCTGTTTTTAAGTCACACAGATACAAGAGACAACTCATATTATAGCCAAGATCAATTTATTTCAACCCACTCACACACCCTCTGAAATACAGTCAACAATAAATAAAGTTTTTACATCATACCAAAGTTTCAGACAAACATAAAAGACTGTACATTCTTTTGGTGTCATATTCACAATGCATTCACCAGTGCTCTCGCTTATATATTTTGTAAGCTGATTAATGATAAGTAATCATTTTGACCTTAAATGAAAACAATAACAGCATTTAAACTATGAAGTTAGAGTTTAAAATGTATGTCCTGGTTGCCATATTGGCCCTGTATTATATTCAATACGTCACTATAAAATGAAACTGATGGGAGGGCTTTAGTGCTGGTCTGTTTTGTTTACATTGTTTTAAGGCACTTTTAGACATAAAATACTGCGTAAATATTCTAGGTGGCTCAAGTTTGAATAAAAGCGGTAACATTGCCAGTAAAAGCAAAGTCAGGATTACAGTGTTCTTACATACGAAAATTTCAAATATATAGTGGGCAAACCAATCATCAATCAAAGTGAATGCGCTTTGATCATGCAGGACATTTTGAAACAGCAGATTTGAGACACTTCTGCAAGCTACATTTGTAAAAAATGATATTTGAGAACTTCTTTCCATACTGATAAAAAAAAAAAAATGACATTGTACAATACTCGTAAGTTACAGCATTGTAGAGCTGAAATGATTAGTTGATTCATCTGTCTGCAGAAAATTAATTTAAAAAATATTAATTTTATGATCAACTGCTTGTTTAAGTCTTTTTTTCAGCAAAACTGCCTAAAATTCACTTGCTCCAGGTTCTAAAAATAAATATTTACTATATTTTTAGTCTTCAATGATAGTAAACTGAATGTGTCAACTTTCTCTGGGATTTTACCATTTTCTGAGATTTTATTAAATCAATTAAAAACCTAATTAAATAATTGGTTATAAACGGTCTTGAAAATATTCGTTACTTGCAGCCTTATATATTTCCAATATTGCAAAAAAGATGCCAACTATCAGGCACTGCTCTATCCATTTAGAGATACTTCTTCATAACGGAGCCCTACAGTGTGTTTGAAAGTTGAAAAGCCAGCCCTTGAACAGAGAGAACAATGTGACAGATTCCATGTCAGAGAGGGGCTTTACTTGAAAAGCTCAAGAGAAGATGGTTTTCATTCCAAAAGACAGATTTAATTTGAGACACCAACGAGATCTTTGGACTACAGTGATGTAGTGTAATACAAAACAAATTTGTCAGCCGAAAGATTAAATCTAGCTTTGGTGTCTGGTGTCTTGCGTTAACATTTTATCGAGGGACAAGTGTATCCGGCAAGACAATCATTGCACCGATAAAGCCACATTTGCAGGATGGGGATTATTGCCGCTTGACTATAAACTATAAAAGATAAACAATAATGACAATTCATCAGTACATCCAAACATTTGGTTGACCATCAGGGATAACATGGGGTCAATCATACAGTCTTTACAATGTGAAAATCCAGCCACTGTTGTGACAACTCTAATGAGTGTGGCAGTTTCCTACAGTATGACTGCTGCTTATATAGACAGATGCGGTGGTAACATAATCCTCTCTTTCTGCTTCGAGCCATTTGTCTACAGCTTGCTCTCTCTGCCCAGAGGTCAAAAGTGAGAGCACCTAGTGGTGTAACAAACGACACTCATAAAGAACACACACAGTAAAAGTTAGGAAAATCAATCAATCAATCAATCAATAGCACATATGCAAAAAAAACATTTTGTTTGCCAGGAATGTAACCACGGTGCTGTACTTCCTGGAGTCTGCAGGAGGAGGACAGTCTAAAAATGACTGTATGAGTCTTGTGTAGGTCAATCCGTGACTGACAAATGATATGTGTGGCAAAAACAGAAGAACGGAGGGCTATAATATGAAGCCATTGAAACCTGTAACTACTCAGTTGTGCAGGCAATGAGGCTGCATTCAGACCAACAATAGCACTGCGTCAAAGATATGCAGCCTCATTCACTTCAGTGAGACCAATGCATTGGCCCAGTGGTCCCAGTATTGGTGGAATACTTTTTAACAAGTACAGCGTAATTCTAGTATTTACCTTGCAATGGTCAAGTCAGAGAATAAAATAATTGCCACCATGATAACTTTCCATAGTAAAATGCTCCCACATACAGTTTTGTTTTGAACAGTGTTATTCAAAATTCCTGGTTCAAGCTTTTCCTGTAGCAACATACTTGCATTTTTTAACCCAATGTTATTCTTTGTCTACAGCCAACAGAGCCAGAAAAGCCTTTTGAAAAAATAAATAAAATTTTATTAGATGTATGCGCTGTCCAGTTCATCATCCTGAAGATGTAAATACTACAAAGGTTTACTTGCTTTTTCCATAAAAGACCTCTTGCTATATTTTTTACTCCCATCACGTCCCTTTCTGCTAGTTATCATGGATCTTATTGGTTATCTAGGCAAGACTTCTATATGTAGGATTTAATCCCATTTGTAGTCTCTTCTCTTTTTCTTAGCCTGAAGCTTAATGCATCATTAAGACATTCTGGGTCTAACTGTGATGCTACTTTAATTATTAATGCAGCCCAGGTTAGACTCATTGAGTTAAACGTTGAGGGAAATTTTTGATTATTTTCTCTGTTCTGATCACTGATCACAACAAGTTAACCTATCGACTATATGTTGATTATTGCAGTGCAAGCTGCAACTGCCCAGTGGAAAGATAATGGATCACTTCACAGACAAAAATCCTTACTTTCAGCTGACTGAATTCAGGCCCTGTCAAAATGGGATATATTTTGACCATTGTAATGTAGAACATTGGTTTTGTTCCCCTCTTGCTGGGCTTTTTAACATGACCTGGTAATAAATAAATAAAATCAAAATCTTTAAAACTTTATCATTTAAATTAAATGAAGTACAAAAAATAGTTTTATGTTATTTTAAACAATCAAACAATTAAAATTAAATCAACATCAAATTTTCTTTCATCACATAAGTTTGTAGATTTCTTCTAATTAAACTGTACTTTCACTACAGTCCCTGCTTATGTGCCCATTTTTATGCCCACTTGTTGCTTCCTAAACCCTGTGACATGATTTTACATGATTTCATTGCTACTAAAGTGCCCTAAAAACATAATAAAACTATAAGAACAGGATAATTTAACATAAGCATTACTGAGGAAAACCAAGAAAGGACTATATGTAATGGCACTGTGTAAACACTAGAGGGTGCTGTTACACAGATTTCTTTTTCTGTTCACACACCGACCATCCCCAGATGAGAATCTATGTGGAATGATTTACAGCCACCTTGTTCAAAAGTACACACATCAGAGCTACAGACTGGTGATGGCATGAATTCAAATGTTCTCATTTCCATCAGAATGTGTCCCTTGCTGACTGCTTACTCCACCAGCTGCAGGGGATCCTTGCAGTATATCTTAATAATAACTTCAGCTGTGTCAAAAGGAGTGCAAAACCGTGAATGTGAGTTTGATGTTAGCAAGTGAGAAAAGTAGCTACATGTCCATTTGCATTTTGAGTTGGACTTAATCATGTTATGTTTCCTCAATGCCAAAATGTGAAAGAAAGAAAGAGAAAGAAAGAAAGAAAGAAAGAAAGAAAGAAACTGCTATATTTTAATTCAGAATCTAGATGCATTTTTGGATGTCATCTTACAATGGTAAACAATAAATAAAGTTGTATTAGACTAACATACTTAAAATAATCTTCCAACAAATGTTATTAGCTATTATAAACATAGTTATTGTCTCTTGGTACCTCTCTGTCAAAGGCTTTAAGTCTGTTCATGTAAAAGGAGTCTTCAAGCCCAATAATAACCCACCCATTCATCTCCCTGTCTCAGTAGGGATCTGTCTTTATCAGTGGGCTATTTCTCTCCATACATGTCAGCGCACACACACGCACACACACACTTCTCACGTTTCTATCTCATCTCCGAGCGCTCCTCATGCTCCTGACTCGCGTGTTCCTCGTTCGCTCCTTGGCAACCACCGAGGGCATGGCTTGCAAGGTGGTGATGGCTGTCTTGGTCCAGTAGTCCACCTCTTTGAAGATCCGGTATACCCAAAGCTTCAGCTCAAACAGAATGGTCGGATCGTCTAACTGCCAATGAGAAGGGGAGAGATCACCAAGCTCTGCCTTAATTTCAGTCCAGCACTTTCACCATCATCAGAACACCTCTGTCGACCTCATCAGCACCTACCTCCAAACCCTCCGAGCTGGGAGTCAGGACTGCCGTACCGTCAACAGCTTTGAGGAGTTCTCCAGTGTTGATTAAGAGAAGCGACAGCCTGTCCTTCACCATCTTCCTCTGGGTCTCATACTCACCCTTTTTCCCATCGCCCAGCTCCTCTTCCTCTTTGGCGATGGCTCGGTCCAGCAAGCTGCGGCACTGTAGCAGAGCAGAGTGGAGACGCCAGAGCTTGTCCCTGGTGTCCAGCTGGGAGGAAGGAGGAGGGACGGACACCAGACGGCCGTCAGCCACCGCAACATCAGCAGTGAAATTCTCCTTCTTTCTCTTGAGGGGGAAAAGAGAAAAAACAAAGAGGGTGGAAATTAAGAACACAAGTGAGATTTGGGAGGGTGTTAATGAAAAGGACAAGGAGGAGCAGTTGCGAAGTGAAGTGCATAAGTTGAAGATTGAGAAATGCTTACTATCAAGTACTAACCACACTGATGTCACTGTTGACAGCAATTTATGAAGATCATTGTCTGAGAGGCATCGGGGATTTTCTCCTAATGTGATAGGAATTTGTTCAGGCTCATTCACACTGCTTCAAAGAATAAAATATACGCAACAGAGGACAAGGTCTTCTAGGACAAAGTCTTCAATAAGAATGTGTGTTCCCATGTCCAGTTGAGGATGTATTAAGTCAACATATGAAAGGTTAAAATGAGCCAGTTAAAATAACACCAAAGCACCACAGAAGCGGGAGGAGTACTTTTGTAGGTGCAACACATGCAATACCTGACTATATAAAAGACTATGGTGTGACCCGACTTTCTAGTGGAAGTCAACATCTGAAACTCAAAATCCTTAACACATACTGTATGCTGAAATTAAGGAAATAGTTAAACATTTTAAGCTAATATTGTATATCACTTTACTGCAGAGTTAGATTGATATCTCTGATATGTCTGCACGACGTAGCTACAGTCAGACTGAAAACGGGGAAACAGCTAGCCTGGCTAACCACAAATTGTTGTTTTTACACTTTTTGTAGGATTAAATAAAGGTGATATAACATTTTGATTAGTGAGCTTTAGAGGTGCTAGTAGGGGGAACCCGCTAGCCTGGCTCTGTCCTGATATAGTAAAATCTGCCTGTTTCCGCTCTTTATGCTAAGCTAAGCTAACCAGCTGCTGGTGGTGACATCGTATTTACCATACACAGCTAACAGTGGTATTAATCTTCTCATTCAACTCTTAGCAAGGAAAACGAATAGGCCCATTTCCCAAAACTATTCTTTAACATTGATATAAAATCAATAGGCCTACAGTATATCTATGTCTGATAAACAGCACCTCTGAACTCTTAGAGCTACATTATGACATATCTGACGTGATGTTGACGGGACACTTTACTGGCATGATTGTATCTGGCATCAGTTTCAGTACTTCGGTGAGTTGTGAATCCCAGAGGCCTCCTTGTGACATTATACTGAGGCGTTAATGTTGAACCCTGCATGCAAGTTAGAACCAGAGTGACAGAGTGGCCTAATGTGACCTGTATGCTCTGAGAGTCAAGGGAAGGAAGTTAATGTTTACTGCTCAGCCTGCAGAGGAAATGTGATTCAGGCAGTTATGGATACCCCGGGAAGCGATACTGTAGCCAGAAGCAATATTCTCATGGATCATTGTGAATAATGATAACGTGGTAAGCTCTGAAAATGATTTACGAGGTATCAAATGGATGTTGCAAATGAATGTTTTCCCACCCAATGAATAGGCAAGGGACAGCCCGCCTGGAAAAAATAATACTCTGCCTAAAAAACATTCAATCTGCATTGGATTCATTTGAGACCAATGTGCCAGAGACTAAACTAAATCCTATATCAGAGACAATCCCCCCTTCCAAGGAGAGAAAACATGTACATATGCATATATCTCTGTATGACAGGCTATGACATATCTAATCACTTCATGGTGTGATCAATGGAATATCTCCAAAACAAAACCATATGCCCACAAAGTCAGTGATGAGTGCACATACAAAAAAGTTTCAAGAGAGAAGAAAATTGCAGAAGACATGAAGGTTAGAGGAAGGAACGGTCAAATCCTGGGGAGTGAAGTGGATGAAGTTATATGCCGCTCCCTTGCTCCTGGCAAGACACATGAAAGCAAGGAAGGATGGGGCGGTGAACTGGCAGGAAACCAAGAACATTTAATAGCCGGTAGCTCTCACACCTATAGGCAAAGAGACTTGTGGAAAAGAGACAAGGCTTCATGCCCAGGCATTGATGACATTGTGCCAGGAAAAAACGCCCACTTCTGTCATTCCAAGCCCCCACCCCACACACACTGCATTCCTACCCCCTGCTGTCTTAGACATAATTTATTTCTCTTTCACACACACACACACACACATAAGCACACACTCCTCCCTCTTATCTTGCTTTTGCATGCATCCCTTTCATCGTTCAATTCTTATCCTCTCTTTCTCCCACTCTCTCTCTCACAAGAAAACACACACTTTGCCCACGTACTTCTTTCAAGCACACACACAGTGACATGCACACAAAGTTACAGACATGCTTGTACATAGGACACCCATGACACACGCACTCAGGAGGGAGGGAAAAAAATCTATTAATTTTCCATTTAACCTTGGCCTATTTCTCACTCTCCTTTATCCACACACAGTCTTTAGCTCGGGACTATGCGGGACTGTGATCTGCTGGCAGGTTGCACCCAGTGGGAAACAGTAGCTCCTTTACTCACATAAAGTTCCAGCAAGACAGAACACTCATGGTGAAGCTGCTCCGCTATAGCAGCAGCTCGGGCCGCGGTGGTCCTGCCCAGATCCGAGCCGGTCATGCCTCTAGTCCGCCTGTCTGCCATTGGACCTCCAGCTGCCTCTGCCGGGAAAACACGCTCGCAGTTGGAGCAGTAGAGCAACAGACTGTCCCCACTAATATATGCCCGTGTGCGCCTGCCTCATCCCGACAACACCGCGGTTCATGGTTCACTGCCCTTCCGCTCCCCTTTGCTGAAACTCAGTCGGCGTGAACTGGAGCCAGAGACGGCTTCTCCTCTCTTCGGTTTTCGGTAAAACGAGTTTCCCAGTTTGTCGGACCTTGTCTGCTTACTGTTACTTACGTTACAGAGTTTGTTGCCAACTCTCCGCCCTTTCCCCCGGGAACCTGATGCCAGACAAGAGGAATTTAAGGGGACATGCTGGGGCGGAGAGTGAAGGAGGGGAGGAGAGGGGGAGGAGGGAAGAGCTCATCAACTTATTCATGGGGAGCTGATCTGACTTACTGGTAGTGACAAAGATGTAAGCAGGATGTTGTCTGGACTATTTCAATCTGCTTCGGTAGGTGCATGATAAAAGTAGGCTATACAAAAGATCACAGCAAAATCACAAATAAACTATAGGCTACTATAAGTGGCTGCCTAAGTACTGTTTTGAGGTAGGCTACTTAACTTTACTTGATTAGACCAGTATTTCTGCTTTATGCTACTAAATGTGATCAGTTTATAAAATTTGACCATAACCTCCCTTATAAAGCACTTTGAATTAGTTTCACACTAATGAACTGCTTAGGCCTAGATTAATGCATGCATTTATAATTATGATCCAATAATATGATAATACAACATTAAATGACTTATTTTGATACTGTAAGTAATATTTTAAATGCAGGACTTTTACATCTAATGTAGTTTTTTTAATACTGTGGTATTTCTATAAAACCATACCATACTGTTAACAATCTGAAAGTACCAATACAATGGATATAATGGTGATTTGAACCATGTATTTGCTTCATCAAAATAACTCTCAGTATGGCACAATACAGCAAAGAAAAGAAGCCTTATATGGAGTATAAATAACTGCATATGTTGGACACCCTCATAGTAGACATTTTTACTTGTCATAGTGGAAAAACAACAGGTGTAACCAATGACAGGAATGTTAGTGATGGGTTTGTTACATTTAGACTGCCAGTAAGCCACGTTAGTAAGCCAGCATGCCCTCTAACAGAAGAAAGGAAGCAAGAAGTTATTCAAAACATTTACAAACATAATACTAAAAACTATTCCACAATGCCTTACAAACATATAAAATGTATAGATTGTGCTGATTTCAGTAGCCTATTTGAACAAATGCTAAAAGTAATGTGTAAATGTGTAATGTGTTAAATTAACAACCTCTGACAATATATCACATCCAGTGGTGGATGAAGTTTTTAGATCCTTTTCTTAAGTACTAATACCACACAGTAAAGTAAACTTTCTGTATTGAAAATGTTACTTAAGTAAAAATATGTAAGTATGATCAGGGAAATGTACTTAAAGTCTTGAAAGTAAAAGTGTTCAAAGCAGTAAAATGTTCCTGTGACTGTTATTGTACTATTATATATTCTATCATGAGCTAATTATTCCCCATGTGTTCATTTAAAAGCAGGATTTTACTAGTTTTTGAGGTGGAACTCGTTGTGAGGTATTTTGTATTGGACTGCAACTACTAATTATTTTCATTCTGGAGTCATCTGCTAATTATTTTCTCCATTAATCGATTGTAAAATTTCTGAAAATAGTGAGACATTACATTTATATATGTGTATATATATATATATATATATATATATATATATCCAAAGTGACTTACAATTGTTATATATGTGAGGGGTCGCAGACCTCTGGAGCAACTAGAGGTTAAATGTCTTACTTGGGGACACATTTGTGGATGGGTCTCTCACACACGTGTGCATTATCCATTATTAACACCCTTATAATAATCAGAAGACATTTTTATTGAATGGGCCAAATATCCCAATTTGGACCTCTGTAGTTTACCCACCCTAGGATGAGGAGCAGTAAAGGGGTTCAGGGACTTGCTAATGCTGCACCAACAGTAATGCGCCCAACCCACGACCCTGAGATTAAGAGTCTCATGCTCTACTAACTGAGCTAGCCAGGCCGCACTGCGTGAGCAATGCTGTCACAGTTACGCAGAGCCCAAAGTGACACCTTCATAATGCTTATTTTGTTTGTTTAATTCAAATAATCAAAAAGAAAAGCAGCAAATGTTCATATTTGTGAAGCTGGAACGATAAAATGTTTTTGTATGAAAAATTACTTTTTCTAGATCAAAATAGTTGCACTGATTAATTTCTGTGAACCGACTACTAGTTTCAGCCTACGTGTATAAGCTGGTGGGTAGTTTTATTTATAACAAAACATCATATTTGATACACTCTGCATGTTTTGTGTGTAAAAAGCTTAATTTTTAAGGTAACACAAAGTAGGCGACAATATTTCACTTTGAGAAGTACCTCAAATATGTACTTACGCACAGTACTTGAGTAAATGTACTGTCCACCACTGATCACATCCCTATACGTGCAAAATATACTTAATGTTGGTTGCGTAGCGGTCACGGATCAGTGTTTGTGGGTGGGTAATGATTTAAAGGTGTAATACCCCGCCTGTGCTGCAGGTGTCAGTGCAGGCGCCTCTAATGTAAACACAGAGCAGCGGCTAAATGACACCAGGTAATTGTTACTGGAAACCTGGACGTTTCATTTAGAGAGGAAATGGGAATGATTTAATATTTCCTGCTGTACTATGTTAATACTTTCAACTGTTTACTTGCTATCAAGGAACAGCGCGCTTTAATTTGGAGACCAAGCCTACCAGCCAGCTAGCTTAGCTTCAGGTGAACATGAACTCTCTGGTTGGATACGGGGTGTCCTCGGAGTCCGACAGCGATGGAGATGTAGAGGACGTCAACGACGACAGTGTTGGGTGTGTATTCATTTAAAAAAAAATGCATATATCACAAAACAGGTTTAGATTTTCAGATCATTGCAAATAATACTAACTTAGCGTACATAGGCTGTGTTAACGTCTCTCGTGTAACTCTTATTCTCCGTCTCTCTCTGCCCCTTTTCTTCCTTGAAGTTCTGCTAATGAGATAGGTGATGAAGCATCAGCTGTCACAAGGACCCGGAACTTTTTGCTAGCGCCTGGCTCTGGTTCAAGTGAATCAGAAGCAGAGGAAGAGGACCCAGATCCGTCTCCCTCACCGTTACAACCCCAAGCATCTTCTGCAGCCTGTCACACCACCCTGCCTGCTCCATCCCTGGGCTCCCTCGCCTCCAATAAACTACCTCCTCCTTCTCTGAATACCTGCTCTGACAGCGGCGTGTTTGCCAACCCCTTCAAGGCTCAGGCAGACCAGAAGCTCAGCGCCTTGCAGAAACACGTCCCCCTCACAATGCAGGCCAAACCCTCCCAGATAGGAGGCAAAAGGATATGCGTGTCATACAGGAAAGACGGAAGGTGCAGGTTTGGGATCAAGTGCAAGTTTGCTCATGACAGTGACCTCCAGACCCCGGTCACTCCCACTGACTGCCATCCACCTGCGAGTGAGGAAACACCTGCGTCAGATAAAGCCGAGTGCCACGCAGGTGGCTCAGGATCCCAGAACCTCCAGCAGGAGACAAAAGAGGAAGAATCAGGAGGGCAGAAAGCAAAGAAGAGGAGGGTTGGACTGAGTAACACCTTGATTCCTCCTAAACGAGCAATGAAGCAGTATGCCATGCATAGGGACAGAGATCGGATCAATATGTCCTGATGGATGTTTCAGGAGCTGTTACACTGCGTCATAAAGCAATAATAGTGATAACATATGTTCTCTCAGCGTGTGTGTATGTTGTAGAAATTGTGTACTGTACATCAGTAGGATCAATTAATAACTCAGGCATACTTTACATTACATCCGGCAGCCTCTGCCACCTGACTGAACCACCAACCTCACTACTAACGGTTGATCAACTTAAGGACAGCTGCCCCAGTTGAAGACATTTGTCCCCCCCCCTGTTGTCAGACTCTCAGTGAATAGACTTTGGATAAATGTTGAGACATTTATTTACATCATAGAAATGAACAGTTTTTGTGTTTGCTCTACCACACATCCTAAATCACAAATCAGAGAGGTGCAGATTTAGTATTGACATATGCTCCAAGGTTTCTACATACCTTTGCTTATTAAATTACATTACACTTCAAAAGTTATTGACACACTTTGAGTTTGTCTTATTCAGGGACTGTGCTTGCCGTTACGTTATGGGTGCAATGTCAAATGTCACTATTTGGCTGACTATAATGACCGAGGACTTCAGTGAGTAGTACATACATTATAAGGGTTATTATTCCTTTCCAAGTCTACCACCAGCCAGGCTAAACAAACATCTGCACAGATGTCATTGAAACGAATAATGACACTGCCAACATCACTAAAACGTGCATATTTTGTGACTTCTTACAGGCCTGTGAAACATCTTCTTTGTCCATGCTTTCCATGTTTTGAAATGTGTCTCTTTAAGAGCTTAGATCTTTTTCTGTTAAGTTTTTCTTTTAACCCTACCTAATAAAGACTTTACAGTAGATCTGGACAATAAATGAAAAAATAGCTGCCTGTTTATTTAAACAGAATTTACTCACTCCACACTTATTTTGGAGGCTGTTTATAGCTTTCTAATGTGGCTTTGTGTTAATCCACAATATAAATAGAGTTAATTTGTTCCAGTAGGAACACTGATGCCACACCAATAGGCATTTGATGTGCTGTATTTTACAAAGAGGTATGCTATATTATTGCATAATCGCAACAGCATTGCAACATAACCTCAGCATCATATACACACACACACACACACACTCTCACATAAAAGGCTAGTTAAGTTTACATGACTTATGTACAAAGGCAACAACTTACACATACAGACACATACATGGTTTCCCTGATACAGATATTCTAAAAAGCTACCAAATATGACTATGAGTGAACAGTACGTAATATATTGGTGATCCTACATTTACCTCAAATATTGTTATACAGTATATCAGGTCACTGCTCACATAATCGGTTTAGTGTGCACTCTCCTTGTTCTACATGAGGGCCTGCTGCACATGTCTCCCACTGCTGTCTGACAGAACGTCCCCGTGTCCTGTCTGCTCCCAGACTACACCATCTGCCCCTACAGCTTCTGCCTGCTGAAGAGAGCTGACTGAAGGAGAGGAAGACGAGAGCACCGCATTGTCCACAATAAAGCTGCCCCCGTTGGTGGAGGCTGTATCCTGGGACTGGGGATGAGGTGCGGACAGGAGGGGAGGGCTTGGGCCGGCTGTCTGCAGGGTCTGGAGCTGCTGAGAAGTGGCTAGAATGGGGATCTGCTGATTGTGGGTCTGCGACTGGCTGACCGGCTGGAAGGTCATTTGAAGAATTTGTGTCTGCCCCTGGCTCTGCTGCTGAGAGGTATATGACTGAAGGGGCTGGGGTTGATGCTGGGTCACCACTGAGCTGGAATGGAGGGTGAGTTGCTGGATTTGGGGCTGCTGTGGCTGCTGAGCGGCCTGCACAAACTGGACGGGCATCTGGAGCTGGAGGTGAGTCTGATGCTGGTTGTCAGCCGGTGAAGGGGGGTCAATGGGCGATAGGGCAATCGTCACTGGCACCTGCATGGTATGGAGGCTCTGGTCTTGTCCCAGTAACACCACCTGGTGACTCACTTGTTGGGTCATGTGACCCATCTGGGACACCTGAACCACTTGCTGCCCAACTTGCCCTTCCTGGCTCAGCTGGTCCATCTGCCTATCCTGCCCTACTTGGCTCACATCCAGGCTGGTGACCTCTGCTTGCATGGGGTTTCTTGGCAGCTCCAGCAGGGAGGCGGGAGTTGTGATGAGGGCGCCGGCGTTGGCTGCCAGCGCCTCAGCAATAAGCACCTCAGGGTGACTCTTGGCCTTATGGGCCACCACACAGTCCTTCTTCTCAAACTTCTTGCCACAAATGGAGCAGGAGAACTGATAGGTGGCATCAGCATCGTGCTTCTTCATGTGCCAGTTGAGAGACGCCTTCTGGCGACATGTGAAGCCGCAGATTTCACACCTGTAGGGTAAAAAATGGATAGAAAATGCTTTCAAGTGTTGCCAGAAAATGTTGTGTCCAAGTGAAGAGAATGAAAATTGTGAACAGAGAAGTACTAACTGTAGGGGCTTCTCTCCCGTGTGAATCATGCGGTGTACAGCGAGGTTGTGGGAGCTCTTGAAGGCACGAGCACAGAACTCACAGATGTAGTCCCTCTGGTCTAGAATCACACAACACTCAACATATAGATGTGTTCTCCATACACTTTATCAAATATAACAAGAAATAGTCACACAGATCGAAGCTAATGTATGCCGCATGTATATACACTATGTGTACCTGTGTGGTGCTTTGCATGACGCAGCAGCTGCTTCTGTAGTCGGAAAAGTCTTCCACAAGACGGATGAGGACATACGTACTTCTTCTTGAGTAAGTGTTGGTACTTTATATGGTGCTGGGGTGCAAAACAAAGAAAACATTTAGAAACAGATCATCACTAACAGGAGAACGGAGGGGCTAGCAGAATGAAAACTGAACTTAAATAAAAAAAGTTCATGTTGCTGCTCTGATGTTTTCGTTTGAGGCTGTAACAGTATGACTTCGATGACAGCTTGTACAGTCAAATTGTCAAAGAAAAAGTATATTATGTTTTATCACAATTATGCTTATATCCCCTGATATGGATATTAAGCCATATTAAACATCTGCCAGAAAAATACTTGGACCCCTTTTAGTGCAAAAACTATTTGTTGATTAATTAATAAGTGATCAACAAAAGTCCAGCAATTTGAAGACGCCACCTAGGAACCTTTGATGGACATTTGTCACTATATTCTGGCATTTTGTGGACTGCAATATAATTTAATAAAAAAAAAAAAAAATTAAATTGACAGATTATTCTATAATGATTGTTAGTAGAAGCTCTTTTGTAGTGTATATGTTTGAAAATTAAGTGGTCCACAGCAAAGTTTGGAATAGATCCCCAGTGATTACATTTGAATGGCAGTAGCTCAGAGTGACGGATGTAAATAACCCTCAGTATGACTGTGTAGCTGCTGAGGCAGACCTGTAGGTAGCGAGGATGAGCCAGGACTGTCCCACAGCCTTCCATTTCACAGCGCACATACTGCACCGGGGGCTTCTTCCTGTGTGGGTGAAGCATGCATGTACACACACACACACACACACACACACACACACACACACACACAGCAAATGTTAAATGGATCTCAAAGTCCTCATTTATAGCCCACATACCCGAATGTGCTGCTCATTATGTGAATTACCAATCACTACCATATCCTTTATTACTGGACATAATTGTGACAAGATAATTTTCATAAAATCATATTATAAAGTTCAGATTATGATGGCCTAAAAAACAGACATCTTCACCTTCTCTTTGGCAGCCGAGGGGTTTTATCATCTTTTTTCCGCCGGCCTCTCCTAACACAGAGGAAAAGAGAAAAGAAATAAACCAAACTGAGTTGCAATGGAAAAATCTTGTTATATTATTGTATTGAACACAAAGTCGTTTAGAAAAGGAGTTTGCTCCCATTACATTCAGACAGAAACTGAATAATACAGTCACAGGAGAACAACTGCTTAGTGTTTCACATGCAGAGTTTAAAATGAGTAAATGAGTAAGTACAATTGTAGCTAATTAGACATATGTGTCTATTGTTACACTGACTGGCACGCTTCAGTCAAAAACTGATTTTAAAAAACTGGCACTACTTACTTCCTGGGTCCATCTGGGTCCTCCACTATTTCTTCTTCTAGCTTTACTTCCTCTTCCACACTCTCCAAGTTGTCCAAACCTTCTATCTTTATCTCAGCAACCTCTTTCTCTTTTTTAGGTACCCTCTCTTTCTCTTTCTTCTCCTTCTGTCTTGGAGCAGCTCTGCGCTTTGGTTTAGGGACATCCCTGAGAGAAAGAAAAAAAAAAAAGAGAGACATATTAAAACAAAACAAAAATATGTTGCCGATTTCTAAATATGTCAGACACACAGCGCGCGCACACACACACACACACACACACACACACACACACACACCTTTCCGCCTTCGGGTTGTAGCTCTGGTCATTTAGGTCATCTCTAAAAGGAACATCTTCATCACTGCTGAGGCCCTCCTCCTCCTCCGCACCACTGAAAGCGAAACAACAAATCACTGAAACAGAATTCCCCACTTTCTGTACTGGGTCAAGTGACTGCGCTTGAGGTAAGTGTACCTCTGACTCTGTGGCTGGTAGCCGAGGTTGTTTGGGTCATCGTGAAATGGAACGTCGTCATCATCCACGACTGGTTCAGCAACATCCTTTATGTTGTCCTCTTTCTTTTTACTGAGACAGCATAAAAACACAGCAGTCATCAAAACACAGCGCTCTCACTCAGTCACATACTGTCACTATATACACACACACACACACACAAGTAAGGCAGTACGCGCAAAAAGCCATGGGCTCAGTGGGCCATAAATAGCAGAACAAGATCTATGCTTATGATGTATGATATGTTATGAAGCCTCTGTTGTTAAAGCTAAAACACGTCTGATGCTTTTTAAATAAATTTTAAAATGATATTCCATGACATCACAGTTAAAGCAAGTAAATCCCAGAGTGTGTCAAAGATCAGCTGTTGATAACAGCCTACAATACCTTTAATCTTTAACTTAAGGAAACCCTTAATAAAGGGGCCAAACTTATACTTACATTTCACACTTCTCTTTATTGTTTTCCTCTCCTTTCACTGCTGCGCGACAAACACAGAATGAAAGACACCATGAGTTCGAGAAAGGAAGCAAAAGCACTCTTAGCCAATAGAGCCATACAATTTCTATATATGCACACATTTGTTTAAATGATGCCAAATAGGAAAAGGCATGAAAGCGTAAAACACAAAAACATTTATATTGTAGTCTACTAGGTTCGCTCTAAGTGAGTTATTGGAAGTAGAGGGAAGAAACCACCCAGATTTTTAACTCAAAAGGCAGCACTGATCCCATTAGTTACACTACAATCACAAGCATCCCATGTCAACTGAACAAGATGTCACTGAAGGTTTTCCACAGAATGAATAATATCCTGAAGAACAATGGTGGGCATGGTGCTTCTGTGTGCTGCGCTTTTTAATTTGGGAATTACAGGCCAACATGCTAAATCATTGTGGCTTAGTGTCAACAGGTTGCTCACCAGCTGGATTCTCCATTCCAGGTTCGGTTTTACACACAGGCTTGGAAGAGCCACGGGCAGCCCTGCCAGATGGGGGCTTGGCACGAGTCTGGGCTGGGGGGCGTCTGGAGGGAAGAGCTGGAACGATGGAGCAGAAGCATGCCATCAAATACGCCATTAAGTGTGGTACAGGCATATGCAGACTCAAGCTAGCGCTCTTTGAAATACACATTGCACATATATAGATTCCGATTTAACTTAAATGTTAGCAAGATAGATATCAAACAGGGTATCAAAGAGGTTGTTCCCAACACTTCTCTGATTACCTTGAGCATCTGTGGCAGTTTTCTTTGGGTTCTCTGAGCTGCAGGAAGGAGGGGAAAACACAAGCCATCATTCGTGATATCTCTCAAACGAAAATGCATTTCGAAGTTGTAATAATATGACAATATCTTTACAGCCAGGTAAGTTTTACTCCACCCTCCCCATGCAGAGCTGTAGAAAGGGGGACGAGCTATGCTGAAGGCGTGCTTTTGACAGGAACTGACCCCACCGACATGAACACACAAATTAAAAGTCTAACGTTAGACAAGCTCATTATAAACAAATGTGGCGGGGACTGTTCAATTCAAAACTTACTCTGTGCCTTGAAGGCTGTCACCTGCGACCCCCCCTCCAGCGTCAGCCAAACCCGCAGATTCAGAATTTTTCTTCCGCCTCGAGTTGGACACCTTCCTCCGCTTGGTCGCACCGGTGTCCGGGCTCGGTTCGTCGTCTTCGTCGTCGCTCTTGGTGTCCTTCAGCCAGGCCGGTACTGCCCTCGTCGACCTGTCTCTTAAAACCCTCCCAGAGCTCTGCGGGCTCGACGCTGCTCCGTTGACGTCTGTTGATGAAGCGGAGACGCCGGACCTCGGGCGGCCCGCTCCCCGCTCTCTGAGACCCCTCCGCGGTGTAACGGTCGTACCGGTGGCCGCGGTCTCCTCTGCGGCCTGGTCCTCCGCCGGCTCGTCACCTTTATTTACACCCGTTGTTCGGTCGCAGGCCGGTTCCATCACCGTGAAGACACTTCAGGCTACCTCAAATTCCGCTTAAAGTCAAGCAGGTTTACTTGCAATTTGAGGAAAAACGGACATCTAGTTAAAAGACGTTTTGATTGCAAGCGGCCTTTATCCAACAGTGGGACATTTTCTGTGACTGCGGTGGGTTCGTCGCAAATTAAATGCATGCATTTATTGATTAGAAATTGAAAACTTTTCTTAATTATCTATTCAGCAATAAACCGACATAATTTTAAAGAAGCAGACACTATTTTTGCGTTCTTAAAGCTATAGTAGTAAACCTACTTATTCAGCCGGGCCTGGAGCACAACCATTTTGTGCGCTTTGTTGCGTCTCCTTTAAGCCAAATATAAACTGAGTTTACGTTCAGGGGCGGCAACGCATTTTAGCAACTGTAAGAAATATCTGGATTTCCCTCCCGGCCTGATGTAGATAGAGTAGGCCTAGCCGCAGTGTTTATAAATCTGCAAATACGGCAGCAGCTGAGAGCAGGAGCTCCGCGTGCACACACATGGCAGCCGAGGCATCATGGGAACTGTATTGAAAGTTAGATAAAGGATTGATCATAGTTCCGTCTTTTTTTTGTCGCGCATTTATAGATTTAGGATAAACAAATTGGAATATTAAACCTGTGGAGAATAAGCAAAGGAATTTATATTTCTGAAATGCAATAACAGTAAAAATACAATATTAATATCGATTATGTGAAAATGTCATGCATGCAGAAACCTACACTGCTACACACATTAACACGCATGAAACCATTATTTTATCTATTTTATTCCGTTTCTGAAATATTTTTTGTGTTCTGTGCTGAATAAATTAATAAATGACTATTATTTTACTTTAGACCTTATGGTAAAATTCTTCATATAATGAGTTCATATTTTAACCCCAACAATTACTAAAAGTGATTGGTTTCCTCCAATATTGCATTTGTGACTCGGGAGCTAACATGGCTGCCAGTGAAAACTTGCACTGTCTGGTCTGGGCTGTACAGCTCTGCTGCAGGCTGTTCTGATGAAGTGCATTTACCACCAGATGGCAATATTGTCTAAAATGTCTTCTCTGACAGCTAAAGTCTCTTTCACTTGGTTTAATATTCTTCTCTGGCCATCAAGTGATAAAGTAGGTTAGAGTATGTTGGTGGCAACTAAACTCACTTTTGCCACTCCTTTGGCAGATTGTATAAAGGTTTTAATTAACATACACTGATTATGAACACAGAGCTGCCATGGATGGTCAACATGGGGTTGTAATTAGCAGGGGAGGGCAAAACCAAAGAACCTTGAGGCACTTTGTGATATTGGGCTATATAAATTAAATTTACTTGACTATTCAGATCCTTCGATAACAGTCAAAAGTGAAAATTCTCATTAAAAGTAAAGGTCCTGCATTTCAAGTATTACCCTAGTACATGTACAAAAGTTTTATCAGCAAGATGTACTTAAAGTATCAAAAATGAAAGTACTTCTAATGCTGAAAACTGACCCCTGTGAGTGTTTCACTCTTACATTTTGGATTCTTATTACTGATGAATTCATGTATAATTGGCATGAACTTATAACATGATGCATCGGTACAGTGTTTTTTCATGTTTGTAACTTAATCTGCAAAGTGACTAGTACTAACTATAAAGTACAATATTTCCCTTTGAATTGTAGTTGAGTAAAAGTACAAAGTAGAATAAAATGGAAATACTCAAGTAGAGTGCAAGTACCGCACATTTGTACTGAGAAAATGCATCATGCTACTTCTGGATACATTTTCATTGCCACTGACTGAGTGATTTGTACATCACATGCATGTTAAAACAAAACAGTCACCAACGGTAAATGGCAAATGTTTATTGTGTGGATTCTGTTAATGAACAAAGTGATCCCTGCACTCATGTAGGCCGACACGCTCTAAGAAGAGTGAAGGATTTCTACCTTAAGACAGGTCGATTTCTTGCTATCTATCCTACTGATGCTACTATTTAAACTGAGTTAGGTAAGCAGGTTGTTTTTTCTGTAGCCTGTCACCACATTTTCATGGTAAAATGGTTGGCTGAAAGGTGGTGACACTGTATCCATGCACCTGTGATTGCCCTCCTTCACATGGTGTACTGCATGAAGAAGGCTATTTATGTTCTTAAAAGCCTCCCTGAACTCCTTGCTGGGGTACAACATGTTTCTAGAGTAAAGTTGACCCACCACAGAGAAGTTTATGAAACATTCTCCAAACACTGTGCTCGCTCTCGCTCTCTCTCTCTCTCTCTCTCTCTCTCTCTCTTTCTCTCTCTCTCTCCACCACTACATGTTGCTTAATAGTAGCTGATGTATGAGGTCAGGGATGGGTTTCCATTCACAGGGGTCAGAGTCAAAGTCCTCTGCCTGGACCTTTCAATAAACTTCTGGCCCTTTAAGCAATTTATGCAGTTATGTGGTTTAATCTAAAACTAAAGCTCGCCGACTTGGTTTAGACAGTTAGTGTGTTTCAGCAAAGGGGAATATGCAGACAAACAAAAACGAATGACAGCACTGCGTCCTTTTGAAAATGCTTTATTTGTCTACTTTATCACTATAAATATAACAATACCGAACAACCTTTTTTTAAACAAACCTTCAGATAGAAAACAGTCTGCATATGTCTACAAAGTTATAGCAAAGGGCACATTTTGGCAATAAGGCACACACTAGGAAGAGTTTAAATGGTAACACCTATGTTAAACTAGGCATGCGTAGCTCCACACCACTGACACAAGCCGCAGGAGGCGTTCATCCAACTGCTGTAATGTGGTTAAAATGCAGGCAATAGAAAGTAAAGTAGGTGTTTTGAGCGGGAGGCCGAACCAAAGTGACAAAGTTTTCTGCCGTCTAACAAATGAAGTTTGGACGGCTGTTGATTCCTGATTAGACCTTCAACAGTTTTGCCAAAACTGACATTTGGGGTTGCAACACCAACAGCTCAAAGTGCTAATGGGTTGTAAACACACACAACGTTCCAGTTTGGTCTTTGTTGTTGAAACTGATTTAAAAAATGTAGTTGAACGAGAAGGCCTTTGTGTTCCCACTCATAACACCAAATCCAGTTCAAAATAGCAAGCAAAATATTACACATAACAAAAACAATAACCTTGCATTTTTAAAAACTAGTGGACACTTAAGCAATAAAATAAAACCCAGATTATTACTACTTTTGTTACTCTGACTTTTTATCCCTAAACAAGGTGTAAATAATGAAAAGAAATATGTTTTAGAATATATTATACCTTTTCTTCTCACTTCATAGACAACACACGTAATGCATATATTAAATATATCCTGACTTATTGTCATCACACAAGAAAATAAAAAGCAGTTATCAGCAGTTTGTTTTCCAGTTACAGAGGGGAGAGGGGAAGCAAAACATGTAGATGATGGAATGAGATGAGACTTAAAGAAATATATCTTGTTAGCTGTGGATAATCAATGTTTTCATTTAACTTCTTGGACCAAAAACTTTAACGAAGTCATGATCTTGTTCACAATCTCAAAATCCAGGCTAAGTCAAACTTAGCGTGTTGTTTTATGTGTAAAACTTGTCTGAGTAGTTGAAGGAAAATGAGCAAATAAAATCCCCTTTAAACGCTGAGAGGAAGAAAAAGTGGATTGGAAAATTCCATACTACTGGTTTACAAATACAAATGTTTTGCACGCTCTCATATAAAGATGGCTGTTGTGGAGTGTGACTTCATGATGGTCTTGCATCCGTTATGTTTGTGTGTTGTAGTACATACATGCATGGCTACTTTTATATTTGAGCATGAGGTATTGCTCCAGTTATTCCCAGTCCAATATTACAGTATACCGAGTTTAAAAAGTGCCTACTAAACATTCAACAGGGTTATTTTATGTTTTATGCTTTATCCACACTCATACAGACACTTGCCCAGTTCACACATTTATTCATCTCAGTTATTTAATATCTCTTCATCTGAAAGTCGCATTCTCTTGCCTTTTATAAATACATTTTAAGTGCACCTCGGTCAAGCACAGTTTAGAGGACGAGAAATAAAGAGGAGACAGACATACGGAGTGTTACTGCAGGCGCATTCAAAGAAGACACTACAGAAGAAAGGTTGCCTTGTCACATCTGACTGCATAGACTGAAACCTACTTGTCTTACCACAATATAGTAATACCACAAATTTGGCTTATTGGAAATATGAATGGACAAAACTCCAGTGCTACGCACAGATGTGAGTCTTTCCTCTTTGTGCCAACCACATGGGCTTTGCTTTGTTATGAAAGGCACAGTGAAAAGCATAGGATAACACATAATACAGTCTGCAGATGTAAGGCACTGTAGTCAGGCACAGAGAATCCTTCTAATATCATGAGACTGGAGTGTTTGTAGCCTTATATTTTTTGGTTAGCATTGGCAAATGCAAGAGCACTTTAAGTGACAGAGTGCTCCAGTCCATATAGAAAAATGTCTCTCATTTCTGTCCATATTTGTTCACCTTTCAAGAGTCAAAAAAACCAAAAACATAATAAAGACATACATAAATGATAAGGAAAAAACAATTAACATCTATTCAGTCTTTGTCCCCTGTCAGAGCAGTTTATGAAGATGGAAAACATCTCCACATACATGATGTCACTGTCTATCATGCTTATAGATAAAACCATGTTGAACATCATTGAAAAAGCTTTCCAGTTTTCTTTGTCTGTTTTTTGTTCCCCTAGGAATCTCACAATATTATTTAGCTGGCAACGCGTCTTCAAACAAACCAAGATATGTGTTTCCAAAAGCAAAAGAGGAGACCTAAAAACAAGCAAACTAATTATAGGCAAATGAACAAAACACATAGAACCTTCATTTTAAAATACCAAAACACAAATAAAAAGTACCAAACAGGCATGTTTGATGCATACACATTCAACCAGCGTGGACGGACAGCATCAGCTACAGCATGTAGAATTGACTAAAATACTATATATTAATGGAGAAAAATTCTAAAAAAACATTAGTAAATTCAAAAACAGTTTTCTTCAGTGGTATCCTCTCTTGTCAGTAGTTCCTGTTTCTTTCAATTAACCTTTCTTTCTTTTTACCCCCAAGTTTTTACAGTTTAAAAATATTTTAGACATAGTGTAAAGGTCTTTCTTTCCTGCTTTAGAGAATAGATCCCACCCTAATAATAAGAGAAACCTACACAGAATAAAAATTTAAATATGTATTCTCTCTTCATAAATACTTGAATGTACCTTCAGTGTTTCTGTTGCCATAGCAACAAGGTGGCAGGGGTCAGAGACACAGACGGAGAGACGGGAGTTAGTTTTATGAGTTATGCTTGTTGTTGGGGGGGGGTGTTGCCACCGCATACAGGTAGTTTCAGTAAGTGGACTGTACTTAATGTGTGAAATTTTCTGCAGAAAACAGTGATGCTGCATAATTAGGCCCGTCATATGGGTGCCTTGGGTCCAGGATATACTGAGGCCAGTGTAGTTTCACTGTCTGTTTTCTAAAT